CTATCGGTCGAATTCTCCTCTCCAGTACCCTGGCATAGACTTTCCCGGGGAGGCTGAGGAGTGTGATCCCCCTATAGTTGGAACACACCCTCCGGTCCCCCTTCTTAAAAAGAGGGACCACCACCCCGGTCTGCCAGTCCAGAGGCACTGTCCCCAACCGCCATGCGACGTTGCAGAAAAATATAAAAACATTTAATTTTAGCGAGACAGCCTTACAGATACCTAAAAGCTTAACTAAAATTATAGTTGTACCTTTATTTTTTATGCCAGCAGTCATTTCAATAGAATTATCAACCACTAGAAAAATGTAAACAGAAAATATATAGTTAAACTCTAGACTGAGCATCAAAATTAAAGTGTCCTATCTAATAAAAAAGACTGGCTGTTGTCATCAACTCATGACACTGCAGCTCCTTCATCAACACCTGTTAGTGTAAGTAGACTTCGTTTCATTTTAATCTGACACACTAAAGAACAGAGAAAGACTGAATTGGTACCATCTGTTGTGGTATCTGTTAGGAAATCCTCCTCCTGTTAAAATGAATGCTTAAAACACTTTTCACTGTAAAGTATGAGGATGGACTGAGCTCCATTTTTTAAATGAGTGGTATATTTCAAATACTTTTTAGAGCAGACAGTTGTTGATGTTCAACCTGAGGCACTTTATTTCCTGTGCAGTCAAGAGAGTTGAATCATAATTCCCTCAGAACTGTACAGGGGAAGGCAAGTACGGCTTTTGAAATGCAAAATGGCTAATTTCTCTTACAAATGCACTGAAAGTCAAACACTGAGTTTGCTGAGCCACTGTTAATCCACATCTTATTGGGAAACTACACTGACTTCAATCTTTTAACTTCAATCCCTTTGTGAATACAAACTTGAGGACCAACAGAGCACTGGTCTCTCTGTGATAAAGAGAAAAACATCTCTCTGTGTCATGTTTCTGAATTAGTCTATTCTCCATTCCCTGGTCTTCAATGAGCTCATTTTTCTATTGTGCTGAAGTGACAGCAGAGGAAAAAATCTCAAATGTGAATGTGGCTTGTTGTCTAAAGTGGTAGGAAATGTCTCACTGTCCGTATTCTGTTTGTGGGGGAACAAAGTTCTTGTCATAGCCTCAAACAACTCTTCTGCCTGGCTTTTTATGGGAGAATACAGCTTTGTTGTAATACTGGTCATCACTTTGTCGAATTTGGGAACAACACCGAAAATGCGGAGTTGGGTTTGTAACTTTGTTGAAATGTGGAAGTTATGTACATTTAAAGTTATCATCCATCTAAAGAAATTACAGTAGGGGAGACAACCTTCAAACTATTGTGAAAATTACTGTTGGAATTATTTAGTTTTTTTTTTTTTAATCTTTGTAAGAAGAGAGCAGAGGCAAAGAGACAACAGGACAAAAGAGATAAAGAAACAATGATATAGAGAGAGGGAATAAGAAGAGAGAAAACAAGTGTAGAGGAGAAAAGGACAGAGGAAGGGGGAATAGCGGATAGGATAGGGAAGAAAACAAGAAGAGAAGGGGAAAGTGGAGAATAAGAGACAAGGACAGAGGATAGGAGAGGAGGAAACAAGATAGGGAAGTAAAAAGACAAAAGGAATGATGAAAGGAGAGGAGGGCAGAGGACAGGAGAAAAGAAGAGCCAAGGGAAATAAAGAGAAAGGAAGTGAAAATGAAAAGTAAGGAGGGCTGAGACAGTGAGAGGAGTAAAATGAAGAGAAAACAAGAATAGAGGAGAGGCAAGGAGGCAGATAAAAGGAGAGGAGAGAGAAAAGGATAGGACAAGAGAGGAATTAAGGAAAGAAGAGGAGGAAATATAAAATAAGGAAGGGGGAAACAAAAATATAAGAAAAACAAATGGAGGAGAAGAGAGGGAACAAGAATAGAAGTTATCAGAAGAGAGGTAATAAGGACAAATAAC